TCTTCTGTTGCAATCACCTTTTCTGGAGAAGTGGTCAAAGGTTGACTATCAGAATCTGGTTAAATGGCTTCTGAAGGTTGGTGCTCTTTCTAGGGAGCATTATCCAGCAGAAGAATTTTTTTCTTATCCCAGTGGCTCAAAACTTGATCTTTGAAGGCTTTCAGCTGATCATTGAAGTTCTGCTGAGCCCTTTCATAGCTCAACTCTTTTAGCTTCTGGGTTTCAGAGTTGAACCATTTTCTGAATCTTTCCCACGGAGAATCAGAAGCAGCGGGATTAGAAATCTCTTGACTAGCTTGCTTCAAAGAACTAATCCATTCCTGTATTTCTGTTTCAAAAATCAACAGATTCTTACCAACATCTGATTTGGTTAAGGTTGGTTTAGGTTTGGGGGTGGAAATTTTGTTTGAGGTGGAAGCTAGATGGTCCAACGCTTGTAGATCAATGACAATTATGAGGGGTTCAGCTGGACAGTTGATAGGTGAGGGAGTGGAAGAGTCAGAAATCAGGATTGGTAAGTGAGGGGTGTTTGGTGGTGTAGATTCATATGGTGAAGGTATTTCTGGAATATCATGAATGGAGAAAGGTAAACGAACCATAAGAGGTTCTGTTATCTCAGGAATTGGGGTAGTGGTATCAGAGACTGAAAGGGAGTCTTTTGATTGGTTAGCGGTAGCGTGTTGAATTTCTGCTTTAGGTATTTCAGAAGATGGATTTTAAGATTGAGGAGTGAGAGGGTTTTCATTTTTTGGTTGGGGTGAGTGGAGGTTTTCATGTTCTAGTTAAGGAGAGTGTGGTTGTGGATTTTCTGGTTGAGGAGAGTTTGGTTATGGATTTTCTGGTTGAGGAGAGTGTGGTTGTGGATTTTCTGGTTGAGGAGAGTGTGGTTGTGGATTTTCTGGTGGTTGAGATTGAGTATTTAGATTTTCTAGTAATGATGAGGAAAAGTCTTGATCAAACATTTCAATATCAGAGAGAACTCTAGAAAGTTATGGTTGATGTTGCTCTGGATTTGGATTGAGGGAGTGAGGTTCATTTTAGAAATTTCCAAGAGTTACAGATGGGTCAAACTCTATGTCAAAATCCTCAAATGTTTGGGGTGAAGGATTTTATGTTGGTTGAGGGGGAATGGTCACAGATGTTGGAATAGCTATTGATTATACAACAGAAACAAAAGATGTGTTACCTTTCTTTTTCGCAGCTTTGGGTGTCCTCTGAGAGGATCCTTCTCCTGCTGCCTTCCTCTTTCTGGATTACTTTAGCACAACCTCTGGAGCTGGCTTGTGCAGATCTTGGATGTTGATTTCTGGAATAGTCCCATCTGCCTTGCAAGCTTCAAGGTATTTGACTATAATCTCTGGAGAGGCATCTATCTCAGAGAATAGTGGAAAATCCTTCAGAGGGATTCTCTTAGAAGTGATGACCTCATGATAAGAAAGTATTGGTTCCTTCTTAATGTTTCCGATAATCTTCATTTTCTTCAGATTCTTGGCATTCAAAGGTTTCCCAGTAGTTGCTTCCAGAGTACTGATTTCTTGAGCCTCTGTCAGATGTTTTATCTGCCTGTTTTCCATTAGAATATCTAAAATCAATCTTCCTAGAGGAATCCAATCCCTCTTAGTTCTTTCTTCTTATCTTTTCTCTTTCACACTTGTTCTGAGATGGTTGAAGAGCAAATGTGGAAGGTTTATTTTGGTCTTCTTTGCAATGAAGTATATCAGAAACTACTGATCGATGTTTATGTAGTCAGGAGAGCTTGTAGGCTTCATGTGATTGATACATCCTAGAATTATTCTAGCCCAGATTCTGTAATGATATTTCAAGTCTATGATCTTGATGGATGGCTGTCCAGAAGTGAAGATTTCCCTAGCAATGGATTTTATGTCAGAACACTTATCAGCCATATCAATGCATCTGACTCCACCGCCATTATATCCAACGAGTTTCCGAATCAAATCTTCTCTAATCACTATCTTCTTCCCCATAACATATGATGTGACCTGGTGGTTGGATGAAGTAGCATGAATCCAAAACTCTTTAATAAGAATGGGAAAAGTTGGACCCAACAGACGATCAAAGTATCTGTTCCATCCCCGTGCAAATACATCTTCATACAAATTAAACCCATTTTCTTGTAAGCTTTCAAAATCAATGATCAATTCACAGAGAACTTCAAGGTTGTCAACCGGAGTGAGTAGCATTCTAATGGGCTCCTCATATTGTTCAGTAAATGAAGAACCAGGAGCACTGTTGAGATTATTGAGACTTGATAATGATGCTATTGTTCACACGGATTCTTTGAAGAAAATTGATAGAAAGGGTTTTAAAAAAGAAACTAGAACAAGAGAGAATATTGAAGGAGGTAAAACGTGAATGAATGAAATAGTAAATTGAGTTTATATAAGTTCTTTAGAAAACGTAATCAGTAAGAAAGAGAAAATAAGTAATGATTATATGAATTTATGAAACCTGAAATTATGGGATTTAGAGAGATATTGAACAGTTACCAATGACAAGTGTCTCAATGCATCCAATCAGAGCCTTGGACCCTTCAGAATTTGAACGCGTGTTCAGCCTCAGAAGGTAGCTTGTGAGAGGATGATAGATGTTTGATGGTGTGAACTGCACGCCTCTATCCTTGAAATAAAAAGTTCAGATCTTCATAGATAGATTCTGATGAAACTATACTCCTAACTTCTGAAGACAAGTTGATCAGATGTTCACAGAAAATAATAAAATTCTGAGGGTTAGAATATGCAAATAAAACATTTTATTCAGGACAAAATTTCATGTTGAGATGTTTCAGAATGAAATTGAGTCTATATTCAGAAAGGGGTTTTATAAACACATCAGCCCATTGATGGTTTGTGTCAATAAATTTTAAAGTAAGAATTCCTTTCTGAATATAATCCCTACTAAAGTGATGTTTTATTTCTATATGCTTAGCCCTAGAATGCAAAATGGGATTTCTAGATAGACATATGGCAGAAGTGTTATCACAGAAGATATGAATGTTACTCTCAAATATGTTGAAGTATTCAAGTTGACTTTTCATCCAGAGCATTTGAGTGCTACATCCAGTAGCTTCTATGTATTCGACTTCTGCTGTTGACAATGCCTTGTTCTCATTCAAAGACCAGATAAGAACCTCTGAAGACTTCATAGATAATAGATTTTTCTTTTCTATAGATCACAAAAGAGAAAAAAAACATATAGATATATCTCTATCCTTCAGAACACTCACCTTGCATTGTACTAAACAGATCCATAGAACAGGTTCTAGAGCTTTTGCAACTGTCTGATGTTGCACCTTCTGGTGTGACATCTCCATCTTCCTTGAACATCAAGAAAAAGGATAAGAAATTAAATACTTGTGGATTCCACAATTAGCAATTGTTTTTAAATCTTTTTAAGAAATCCATACATCTCATTAGAAACAAAACATTCTCCCTTGATGACATATACCATCACACGTAGATCACATAAATGACTTATGTTTAGCATAATAATCATCAGTCATTTAGTAAGAATACCACTTAACAAAACTTAGATACTCTATCTTGTATTATTTAGATACCCAATGCCCTTAAACATACCTTTAGCAGCAACAACAAAAGTAGCAATTGAAATAATGTGATTAAACAAACCACTAGAAATACCCTTATTGCAGTCAAGTGTCAGGAGCAGTCAATAACAAAATACCAATCCTCTTAGTTGAAGTTCTAACAAAGGTATGAAAAATAAGGAAATTAACACCTTCCCTGAGTTTTAAGCACTACTTGGTTAACCCATGCTGAACTTGACCTTTGAGGAAGTAAACAAACATATTAAGATGAACTTTTCACAAAAGAGACGTCTTCAGTGCAAGTATATTCCTTTAGCTTGAGTATTATAATGTCTAGCACAATGTTGAGACATTAAGATTGACTTCCTTGGCCCAACTTGCCTTTTGATAAAAACAATACTTTGTCACTTTAGTTCCCTCTTTGTTAATTATAGCTTGAAAGCCATACTTTCCTTAGACTTCCAATCATCTTTCCACTAGAAGAAACCTCTCCAATTTATTCTGAACCACCCTTACATACTTGATCAAGATATCAAGTTTTTGGATTAATAGTGTCATTTCACCTTGCAATTCATAGATAGTTGACAATCCTTCATTCTCTTAAGAATAACATCAGAAATAAATCACCATCTATTTATTCATGGTTGACAACCCTTTTTTTATTCTAGATACACATGTCTTTTAATAAAACAGCCAACACATCATGGGATAATTCTTCAAAATAGAAATGCATCTTCCAGTTAAACCAGTAAGATCCTTGAAAAATTCATAATCAGGATCACTTTCCTAATCAAGCCAAGAAATAGAAAACCCATACAGTTGCCCTTGAGATAAGTAGGGCATTCTGCTCCAAAAAGATCCAAAGTCTTCACACTCATATGAATGCTTTGACATTGATTGATATATACTCCAGTTCCAGCCTTTTCTTGAGCATCATAGACTTATTGAAGTCAATACATATGTTTTGGACATTTGGTCTAGTCATTATGTCCAATCTCTTCAACACCTGATTGGATTGGCTTCTAAGGAACACAATAAAATGTATTAACCATTATTTACACTCTATTAATCATCTTTATTTTACTATTTAAGATTTTTTATGTCTTAGAACTCATTAACTAAATTATGAACTATATTCCGTATACACATTATTAATCAAAGTTGATTCAATATACACGATTATTTTTTGATGTGAGAACACTCAATAACCAAATTATAAACTATATTGACTAATTTTCCACGCTCAATTAACCAATTTTATTTTACTGTCTTTTTATAAACAATGAATGTATTAATGAGAGTAGTAGGGATACTCTATCATAATACAAGACAAGAAATAAAACAACTTCAGTTACAAGCATTTAATACATTCAATAAGGTTTTGACACCACTCATAGAAGTTGCATAAAACCTTCCCCTTTAAACTAATAGCAAGTCACTTCCAAGTAAACACCTTAACTTTGACTAACACTTCACCAACATTATCAATGCAACCTTTGAAGATAATATTGTTGCGGCTCTTCCAAATGCACCTACAAACGGCTAACCAGAAATCCCATGCTCTATGTTTTTTCACTCTTATCTTTAACATATTATCTCCCACCTTCAAGAAGTGGCTACAATAATCTGATTCATCCGAAGCTTCTACTTCAGTCTACAATTGAATTTTATCCCAAACATGTCTCATCATAATACAATGGATCATGGCATGAGCGATATCTTCTTCTTCCCTAAAATAAAAAACACAAACTTTGTTCGACAAATTGAGAAAGATACCTCTATTGGCCAGCTGAGATCTTGTTGCCAATCTATCTTGCAAGAGCCTCCACCCAAACACCTTAACTTTGATAGGAACCAGTAGCCTCTCTTGGTCTACATATCGAATCCCAGCTAAACCAACACACCCTTCTATTCTCCGGCTTACCATACCATAGGAAATTTCGTTAGAGCCTACGAATTCATTAATAACTTCCACATGTATTTTGAAAAGAGAAAAATTAAAAATCGGTAAATTGGATAACACAAAGTTGATAAGAGTAATTCTCCCAGTAATGGACAACAGCATTCCCTTCCAATCTGAAAATTTGGATTTCACCATGTTCACCACCGATTTCCAGAAATTGATGTTTTTATGGTTACCTCCCACAGTTAATCTTAAGAATGTGAATGAGATCTTATCCACCTTATAAGACATAAATACCATTGCTGTCTACAAAAACTGATCAACAACCCTAACTTATTCTTTTTCATATTAATTCTTAATCCTAATAACATTTTAAAACTCTTAGTATTGCTTTCAAGGCCCAAATGTTATCTCAAGTGCTTCCCTCCACAAATACCGTGTCATCCGTAAATTGAAATAAGCTGTAGGATACTTGATCACTAAGGCATAATTCATTGTACATACTTTTTGATGTCAAAATATTTGTTAATCAAAGTATGAATTATTAACCAAAATTATTTTAGAAAATAAATTATAAAAAAGTCAAAATAAAAAAAAGGTTAATATTCATTATATTTGTAAACAAAAAATAAGGTGTGGGTGTAAAATTAAATGTTAAAATAACTTTTTTAATTATTTTTTTATATCAAGGATAAATAAATTTTTTGGTTTTGAAAACACAAACAACGCAAATCTAATGTTAAATTGAAAGGAACAGTAAAATAGTCAAAATAAAAAAAAAGGAAGTCAAATGATGTTTATTAAAATAATGTACTAAGTATATCTATAAGGTGTTGAGATAATGGAATTTTTTTTGGAATAATTAGATATTAAAAAAAAATCATAAATAATCATGTTTTGGAAAAAATTACGAAAATAATCATGTTTCAGAAAATTCAATAAGGGAGGAGTCAACCCAGTTGGCGCATCCACTCTCCATTTTGCCCTATGCGCCATCCTACTTGGCGCCTCCTCTATCTTTTAGCCAAGTGAGATGGCACATGCACTTTAAAAGTGAGAGGAGGCGCCATCTCACTTGGCTCCTAGGGCAAAATGCAATTTTTATAAATAATTCGTTTGTTTCTCCGTCATTCCTCACACTTTCTCGCACTGTTCTCTTATTTTTTCTCTCTCTTATTTGCGTCATGACATCACCCATGATTTTTACCAGAGATGGTTACGTTATTTTCTCCGCCACAAAATCTCTGATGAAAATGAAATTCTGGCACATTCACTCCATGAAGCGTCTGAAGAGGGAGTTGATGCGATGGCTAGAGGGAGACATTGAGGAGGGGAAAAAAATTAGAAGGATCCAGCAAAGACGAACAACAACCTCACTTGCGACAGGAAGACCTAATTTTTGGTTGGAGGAAGTCAAAACAGACAGCGACTTAATGTTGATGATACATGGGTCAGATGAAATTGTTTTAACGGTTTTAATTTCGTAGATGGTTTATCATGTTTTATTTCTTGTTCGCGCAAGGTTTATTGTAACAAATGATGTTAATGAAAAATCCTAATGTTTACAACTTAAAAAAGTAAAGATGTTTTGTAATACAATTTTTATGTGGTTGAGCCAGTAGCCCGATTCAGACAATTTTTGTGATTGTGTCTGACCTGACGACATAAACCACACTTTCTTTCCAGCTTGTCAATGGAGTCCATTTCAGTTGTGATGCGCTTACTTTTTGGACGACCCTTTTTATTCCTTTGCATTTGGTCATTATGTCATACTATTTCGTCATCGTATGCAGGCCAATAATCAGGTTTTGCTACCAAAGGGAAGCTTTTGTTGTATACATTGAGCAAGGTTTTAGATTTGTAAATGGGAGACAGAAGTTGTAGCACGTCTTGATGAGTATAGGCACACGCAGCAATGACATGAGAGCAAGGCATACGAAAGGCTTGAAACTTGCCACAACCGCACCAACGAGAAGGTAGTATAACCTTATACTCTTGTCTTGGCAGACCCTCATTATGGTCGATTGTCTCTTTTACAATGAAGTTGTGGTTGTGTCGGTTAAACCGTATAACCAGATGGGTGTTGGCTTTGGCACTTTCTGCTTTAATGTACTTCATGCAGCTTTCACTCCATAGTTGTCCAGATTGCAACACAGCATTCCACATTTCACCTCTTTTGGCAAACAACGAAGCCATCCTAAAATATGTTGATTTAACCAAAGCAGTTACTGGGAGGTTTCGTATGCCTTTGAATACCCCGTTCATGGATTCAATAAGATTTGTTGTCATGTGGCCCCATCTTTGTCAATTGTCGTATGATCTAGTCCATTTTTCTACCGGAATATTATCGATCCACCTACCGGCGTCCGGATATGACAAAGGGATCTCGTTGCAGTAATATTTGGACGTATGCTGTGTCAATGCATACCCCGCATTCATAACCTATTTCCTAAGATCTTTGTCTTTGATCTCCCTCGTGAAATTTTGGACGATATGTCTAATGTAATAGATATGCGTAGAAGGAGCGTCATGCCAACCGTTTGCAGGATTGTTTTATGCACTTTCAATGGATGCATGTCTATCAGAGATCAAACAGAGATCTGGTTGAGGAGCCACGTGTGTTCGGAGAATCTTGAGAAAAAATATCCAAGCACCACCAGTCTCTCCCTCGACTAGGGAAAAGGAAATTGGGAAAATGTTGTTGTTGCCATCTTGTGCAACTGCCATCAGTAGCGTGCCTTTGTATTTCCCATACAACCAAGTCCCATCAATTTGTAGATTTGGTTTACATGATGCAAACCCTGTGATGCAAGGTTGAAAAGCCTAAAACACTCGACTGAATATTCCATTTTCGTTGAGTTGACTACCATCTGGGGTGTAAGTTGGCAGTGTTTCCAGAATGTAAACAGTACCCAGAGAATAAGTCTGAAGTGCATTCAGGTAGCGAGGAATTTCTTGGTATGACTTCTCCCAGTTTCCATATACCTTTTCAATCGCCTTGGTCTTTGCTAACCACGCTTTTCGGTAAGACGGAGTATAGTTAAATATCGTAGTGGTGTGGGAGATTATGGTTTTCACCTTCGATGATGGATCGTTGCTGACGAGTGGTAGGATTTCTTGACATATGAGATCATAATTTAGTTTTCGATGATCCTGTGATTGAGTAGAACTGACACACGTGTGGGTGGACATAGAACCTATGACCCAACAATCACCTCTTAATTTGTATGATGCAGTGAGCTTGAACATACAATCTGGATGGACACACCTGATCTTGTACCTTTCTGAATTTACACGGTCCACCTTAAAATCGACCGAGTTAAGCATGTGAAATTTTTTGATGGATCGGATACATTCTTCTCTATTACGAAATTTATCTTTCTCTTTTATGTTTTCATCCAACTGCCTATACGGATTGAAAAATAAATTAGAAGACGGTTCATCTCCGCCCATGTTGAAGTTTGTCATGTGCGGAGGTGGTGTGTAGATCTCGTTTGAAGGAATACCAGGTATCCCATCATCTTTGGAATCATCGTTGACCATATCGTCAAACTCAAACTCTTCATCTTCTTCTTCTTCATCAACGACAGCTACTTCTGCTTGTTCGGTCTCCAGAGGATCAACCACTTGTGACAGTTGAGGCTCTCGCAGCATAATGTACAACTCAATAGAGTCGTACCCAGAATACTCATGACTGGAAAACATATTCTGAAGGTCCTCGTCATCTTGAACCTTAACCTTATAAAATATTATTTGGTTGTTACCAAAAAAACTGGATTCTGATAAAATATTTGTGTCACGGGACCTCGTCCAAGTTTGGCCTCCAATCGTTTTTTGAAATACAAGAAATTGGCTTTCCTGTTTAAACAAAATCGGATTTTCTCAGTGTCTCTAAACAAAAACCCAGAGGTGGGACAAATGTATGTCTCACCGTTGAAATGTGCATTGATCACATATTGGGGTGCAGGGGCCATTGTGTGTGACTGTTTGAAGGTTTGAAGGTTTGAAGTATTTGAGTTAATTGCTTGAATTTTTGAATGTTCTAGTGTTTGAGTGATTAAGTGTAGGATTGTTTTGATAAATGTAAGATTAAATAGGTTGTACTGAATTTGAATAAACCAACAGTAAGCAACCTCTAAGGCGCCTCTCTTTATGTCCAATCGTGTTACATACATGTAGAGATGCCTTCTCCAAGGCTATCACCTAGCCTGAACCTACACTGAAACCCATGCCACCTCTTATTCGCCAATAGGGATGGCAACACCTTTCATTTTTGTACTCTTTTGCCAAGTATAATGACGCCTCCGTTCACGTCCAATCGTGTTACATGCATGTAGAGATGCCTTCTACAAGGCTGTCACCTAGCCTGCACCTACACTGCAACCCATGCCACCTCTTATTCGCCAACAGGGATGGCGACAACTTTCATTTTTGTACTCTTTCGCCAAGTCCAATGGTGCTTTCCTTCATGTCCAATCGTGTTACATGCATCCAGAGATGCCTTCTACAAGGTTGTTACCTAGCCTGCACCTACACTGCAACCCATGCCACCTCTTATTCGCCAACAAGGATGGTGACACCTTTCATTTTTGTACTCTTTCGCCAAGTCCAATGGCGCCTCCCTTCACGTCCAATCGTGTTACATGCATGCAGAGGTGTCTTCTCCAAGGCTGTCACCTAGCCTGCACCTACACTACAACCCATGCCACCTCTTATTCGCGAACAGGGATGGCGACAACTTTCATTTTTGTACTCTTTCGCCAAGTCCAATGGCGCCTCCCTTCACGTTCAATCGTGTTACATGCATGCAGAGATGCCTCCCCTAACGCTGCCATGTAGCCCACACCTACACTGCAAGAGTGACACTTATCATGCATGTATGCACCCACCTACCAACTCACTTACTCTATGATAAAATTTTTCCTATAAATACAGATCCTCACATACTTCTATCGCATTCACAATCGTCTCACTCTCTGCTACAAACTCTTTCATAATCTCATTCAATTTCAAACTCTTTCATAATCTCAGACATTTTCAACAATGACTCTTCTCACAATGGGCGATTCTCACAGAGGGACAAGGGATAATATTGCAGCGTTTGTAAGTTACTTGTATACTTATACATTTTTCATACTTTTATTAATTCTTTATTCATCTTACCTACTCTTACACTTTTTAAATTATTAACCTAG